AAAAAAAAAAAAAAAATTGAAATCAAGCAAATTATCCCACCGTCGATCATCCCACGACTACATCACACCTGACCCGAGACAACCCTCGTAGAAGGCGGCAAGCCGCCCGGCCTTATTCGGACGACCCCAATTTTCGTGGCCCTTTGGCATCGACTTCTTCCAGAGATACAAATCTCCGGCCGCCGTCTTCTCTTTCAACCGCCTCCGCCATTATCATGTAGTCTTACTCTTCATCCTTCCTTTTTGTTTTCATTTGAAAACTGGACCTGAGTTGATTGTTATTACTTGACACTTAATTTGGTTCTACTAGGTTAAAATTATACGGGATAAATGTGAAGTTCTGTGCAGTTAGTTGTATGTTCTTTTGTGATTGTGCCTATAATTTTCTGTTATAATCTATCAGTTGCATCGCTGTGTGATTGTGTCTATAATTTTCATTTTTCTTCCATTTTTGTTACAGATGTAGAGTACTAAATGGAAGCTGGTGAAATTGCAGTAGATAGTGACGATGAAATTTTAGTTGGGACATCTTATACCCTTGCTAATCCTACAACCCACCTGGCCAAGGATGAGCCTTTTGATAGCCATGGATTTGAATCTCCTGCGAAGAAGAGGAAGATCGTGGCCGACAATCAAAGTGCACAAGAGAAAGCTAAATCTGCAGGTAGTACACCTCATTCTTCTTTCTTGTTCATAAATCTCAATGCTCATGTAGAAATCTATTTTGTAATTTTTGTTGTCAAGGTTATAGTTTGTAATGCAAGTGTGAATTTGTATTATTTGGGCTTCAAGATGTGCGGAGGCAAAAGGTTTTGGGATTTCGGTTTTCTGGTGGGTGTATTTTGTCATTTTGAGAATGCCGCGGTTGTTGAATTTGAGTATGAAATGAAAATATAGGGATTAAAGTTGTTTTTCAACAGTGAATGGGATTAATTAGTGGTGTATTTTCTGGAAACTTTATTAGACAGTTGCATTTGGCGTTCTATCTCTCCTAAATTTCTGAAGGCTATTTCAATGTGCTCTCTCAGAGTAGTTAAAGACAATTCCAAGTAATCAGGATTCTCACACTTAAAGATGCATTGCAGCTGTCTCAAACTGTTACGTCTTCAAGAGTCGGCTCCAAGAATATTGTCAAAAGGCTGGATTCACAACTCCAGTTTATGAAACTATCAAGGAAGGCCCTTCCCATGAGCCGTTCTTTAAATCAACTGTGATCGTGAACAATGAGAGATACGATTCTCTTCCCAGTTTTTTCAACCGTAAGGCAGCCGAGCAGTCAGCGGCCGAAGTTGCTCTAGTGGAACTCGCCAACTCCGCTGATATGAAATTCGGGATCTCCCAGCCTGTGGTAATTGTCTTCATTCCTTGCTATTTATCTGCTTTCTAATGATGTGTATTTGTCTTAATGTCCTGATTATGCATATCTTAGTTTGAGAAGTATGATTACTCATTCCTCTTGCATATATTTTTACCCTATTTTGATATCATTATTGTTCTTTTTTTTTTATTTGTATTTTGTGGTTATAATAATTTCTCGAGTTCCTCCGCTGTTGCATCATGTCATGTCACTAGTAGTTTCTGTTGTAACTCTTTACACCATTCAGATACCGTGCTTTCGAGGTTGGATCTGTGTGAATCTTTCCCGCAAAATATGTTAGTTAGCTTTTTGTCCCTAGTAAATTGTTTTTCTTTGGATGAATATTAGAAATAGTTGGAGTTCGAAGTTCACAACTGGTGGGTCTGTTATAGTTCTTGTAGCTTTCATGTGTCTCAACAATACTATTATCTGTGTTGATAAATGTTAGAAGACTTCAAATAATGTGGATATGACATACAGTTAAAATTTTTATTTCAGCTCAGTTTTATTTAGTATAACCATTCTTCATTTCATAATTGCTAAGGCTGATTTTTAACTGCCTGCGTAACACTTTAAAGCATCTGAAATGATTTCGAAAATGGTAGATATTCATTTTGTGTGTAACTGTCTATTCATGCTAAATATTTCTGACTGTAAATTATATGAAAATAGCTGTAAGCTCTTTGTTTCTGCAAGTTCCCTTAACATCTTTCGCAGCATATATTAATCTCCTATGATCTCTTCAAGTGAAGCAGAGAAGTTTTTTCTTGAGAGATTTTGTTCTGAGAAGAAACACTTTCTTTTTCTCTGTCATACGAGTAACTTGGGTAACATAAATCCCGTAGACTTTTGTGTTATTTTTGTCTGTGTGCGTGCTGGTTTGGAGACAATTACATTTAACTGTAACTACTCGAATTTGTCGACTGGGGAAAAAGGGAAAAAATGGAAGAAGATAGTTACTCTTACTTCAAAAAAGATTTTATTTTGCCATCACCACTATTATTTCTGATTTATATTGTGTACATGTTTACTCATCCATTTCACATCTCAGCAAGAAACGGGCCTATGCAAAAACGTGCTGCAAGAATATGCACAGAAGATGAACTACGCCATCCCCTTATACGAGTGCCACAAGGTAGAGAATCCTGGCATGACATCAGCGTACTCATGCGTGGTTGAGATTGGGGGCATCAAATACATTGGGGCCTTGGCAAACACAAAAAAGGAAGCCGTGATCAAAGCTGCTCGAACAGCCATGATAGCCATCCAATCATCTGACTCCAACTTTGAAGATAGGACGAGCAACTCTCTCTACACAGTTCTCCCGCAGAAAAAGAAGTCATCTAATAACGGAATTAGTACCACCATCAAGAAGGATAGCACTAAAGTGGGGCCCCCAAAAAAGAAAAAAGGCGGTTCTAAAAGGAGGGTTTTCAAGAAGCGGAAGTCCGGTCACGTTTTTCTGGAGGCGAAAACGAATGGTGGGGATGGATTGGGGTCGGACGGGGTCAAAATTGGGAACACTTGTATTTCGGATGACTGTGATACGATTCTTAAAAGTTCTTGAGTTTTTACGTGATGCGGAGTGACATGATAATGCGGAAACTCATGATCCCCTGCAAAGGATGGTTTGTTGTTTTTCGATTAGCTGGGCTTGGGAAATTGATCGGGTTTATGGGGAATTAGTTTGTATTTTGGTTAAGAGTGGCTTGAATTTACTTGTTACTAAGATATTGTGCTATCAAGCTGTTATTTATGTAATGTGATCCTGTTTGAAGTTGGAGGAATTTTAGTGACATGCAGTCAATTGTGCAAGGGAAAGGCATTATATTTTGTGGAGAAGGTGTGTACAAATCTCCTAACCAAACCCTATCATCTGCCAACCAAGCTTGACTAATCTCTTTTAGTGTAATGCAATTCCTGTTTTCTCGACTTTCCGAAGTTTAACTTTCGCTCTGTTCTTTTAGTATTCGAGACTTCAAAAGCCTCTCCCCACACCTTCAAAGTTTAAAACAGACAAACTAAATATTTTGCAATGCTATAGAAAATCACTCAAATGGTGCCCTCCTTGGAATTCTTTTCCGGCTCCTTCTGCGCATGGACCCTGTCTCTGAAATTATAGTATTATTTCTTAAGTGAATCTCATCTGCTCTTGCCTTAGTCGTCGTCTCTGAACTGTTATTTCTCAAGTAAGTATCGACCGCTCTTGCTTCTATCGTTGTCCCTGAACTTACAATACTGTTTGTCAAGCAAATCTCATCCACTCTTGTCTCTGTCGTCTGGGAGACGTCAAGTAAATGATCATACTGGGAGACGTCAAGTAAATGATCATACTGTGGAAAAAATAAATAA